CACATTTTCTTTTTCCAAGGCTTTAGGGATATTGACTATTTATCCCCAGCAACCGCTCCTTCTCTTTGCTACTGAGGGTCTATGAAAACTACCATCGTGACCATAAATGGATTTAATCACCTCAGACCATATACTATTATTTGAATTCTTAAATCTCCACCACCACTTTCTCATTAAAGCTATATTTTACGCCTTTATACTACCAATCCCAAGACCTCCTTTGTCTTTAGCTTCAAGCGCTTTTTCCCAAGCAATCCATACCATCTTCCTCGAAACCATATCACCCCCCCCCAAAAGAATCTCATTCTGATTTTCTCAAGACTCTTAATAACTTTAACTGGAGCTTTCAATAAAGAGAAGTAGAAAGAACCGAGACTTCTTAAAACGGATATGCATAGCGTTAGGTGACCACCGAATGACAAAGAGTTTGCTTTCCACTTTGATAACTTCGCTTGAAATTTTTCGACAATTGGATTGCAATGTGTAGTTTTTGTCATAGATGCCCCCAATGGAAGTCCTAGATAGATAAAGGGAAGTGAAACGACAGAACAATTGAAGCTTCGAGCCACCAAATTCAATTCGCAACTTTGAACACCAAAACCAAAAAGCTTGCTTTTAGACATGTTCACCTTGAGTCCTGACGATAATTCGAAGAATCTTAGGATTCTGATCAAGCTCTTTGCATTCTCGATCGACCAAGAACCCATAAAAATCACATCGTCTGCATATTGAAGATGTGATATATATGGACCATCTCGAGGTAATTTAATGCCATGAAATATACCCTTTTCTTTTGCCATTTCCATCGCCATATGAAGTCCCTTGGCTGCAATGATAAATAGGAATGGAGATAAGGGCCCCCCTGTCTAACCCCTTGTTCCATGCCAAATTCTAGTGTTGTAGATCCATTTATGAGCAGTGAAACTCTTGCAGAAGAAAGGCATCCTAGAATCCACCTTCTGAATTTAATCCCACACTCCATTTGTTGCAACACTTAGTCTAGATACTCCTAACTAAGGCTATCAAACGCCTTCTCGAAGTCGACCTTAAATGTAAATGCCTTCCTCTTAGTTTTATTGAACCAAGCGATTACCTCATTTAGTATAAGAGGGTTGTCGAGTATATTTCTATTTTTGATAAACGCAGTCTGAACTGGGCTTACCACTAAATGAACCACCTTCTTTAACCGCTTTGCCAAGACCTTTGTGATCGTTTTATATAATCATCCTATGAAACTGATGGGACGAAAGTCATTAATCATGATTGGATCCTGGACCTTGGGAACAAGAGTAATAAAGGAGGAATTACATCCCTTATCGATCTACCATGTTGCTTCAAAGTGTTTAACTACAAAGTAAAATCACCTCCTATCACCTCCCAATGTTTCTTTAACAGGGCGAAGGGGAAGCCATCCGATCCCGACGCCCTATCAGAACCACATACCCAAATAGCCGATTTTATTTCATCAAGCGTGAATGGTTCCTCTAAAAATGCAGCCATATGGGACGGTAACTTCTTGAAACTAGGACAAATAAATTTTGGTCTTGATTTGATTAGTTCAACGAATCTACCAGAGAAATGCTTGACCACCACCTCTTTAATCGCCTCAGGATCGTTAATCCAAATCCCATTGTACTTAAGCCCGTTTATCCTTTGTGACATGTGATGCTTATTTATCAACCCATGAAAACAACTGCTATTTTCGTCCCCATCTAAGGCCCATCTGATTCTGGACTTTTGTTTTAGGTCTTTAATACGCAAGCATTCGATCTTCATGATCTCTTGATAAACATTTTGATGGCTCATCCTTTGTTCATCGTTGATCAGATCTTTTTCAGCTTGGATATCTATATAATTGATTTTATTTGTAAGCTCAATGACATTCTTTCGGCTCCTCTAAATAATTCCTTTCCTCCAAGATTTGATATATTCCATCAAGTTCTTTAGTTTTCTAGCCACAAGAGAGAGGGGAGAGATATGAAAACAACAGTCAGGACCATGGCAAGAAGTCCACCCTCTTTTTAATACAGCTTCAAAGTCAGGCTCTTTCAACCATGAATTAAAAAATCGGAAAGGATGTGATCCAAATTCGAGATAATTAGAGGAAAGGATAATAGCACAGTGATCCGAATGTACCTTGGGTAGGGCGAGGACATTTATTTGTGGCCAGGTATCAATTACATTTGTGGAGACTAGATACCTATCAAGTTTGCTATGCTTCTCACCTGAAGAGCTCATGTAAGTAAATATGTGACCACCCATTTTAATTTCTATCAGAACCAAGGAATGGATGAATATATTGAAATAAAATTCAATGCTTGGGCAGAAGACCGAGCACATCCTTTCTTCTGGGACACGAACTACATTGAAGTCCCCAAAAACAAACCAATAACAATCCATGTCTGAATTAATAAGATCAAAGAGGTTATTCTAGAGGATCTTTTTCTTATTTGGGTCATTCGGAGCATATACATTAATAAAACAACATTATTTCTTTAGCATGAGCCACTTACCTCTAATAGCTAAAAATCCAACACATGTAATTGTTTCATATGCTTCAAAAAGGGAAGGATCCCATAGGGAAGCAATTCCACCCGATAACCCCAAAGGGTCAACAACTTCACACTGAAATTTAGAGGAACCCCATATATATATTTATCCAAACATCCTTTTACCTCAGTCGATTTAGTTTCCTGTAATCCAACAAAAAAATGAATGATTTTGGATACGAACTTCCTTTAACCAACTCCTTTTGATTTCACACTCAATCCCACGCATGTTGTTGGATAGTATATTCATTATTCCAAAATTGTTACTCCCCGTTTGCTAATCATTTTCTTCAGCCGCTCTGCTCTGTTGCTGACTTGGAATCCCACTTTCATACCAACCTAGACTGTTTTAGCAACTTCCATAGCTGTAGAGATGAAATTCGATTCCATGGAAACATTATTTGCAATAATAAGCATTAACAATTTTGAGATTTATTGGAAACCGTTAGTAAACACTTTTATTCTCAACGTGTTATTTATGGTAGTATTATGGTATACAGTTGGTTTTTGTTCCAAGATTTTGCTCGATCACCCGGTTCGATTTTACATTTTAACAACACACTTTACATTTTATACCAATATAGGAAATGCTAATTAAATTTTTTAATCATAATTCTTCTACTTATTTATTATTATTATTATTTTTATAATTTCATTCCTTTTGGTGGTGTTATGGTCTTTGATATATTGCTTAATGTGAAACACAAAATTATAAAATAAGACCATTGTTTAATTAAATTGTTATAAGTTATAACATAAAAAAATGAAAGTGGTATGGTCTATTATAAACTTAATTAAAAGTACAATGTTATTTCTTTTATTTTAGCTTTTTATGTTTTGAACCATATTCATTTCATTTCATCTTTACCTTTAGAGTAACATGATTTTAAACCAAATACTTGCTTTTGTGATTGTGAATTTATACTTTTATATGTTAAGATGGGCGAAAAATTGCAAGTTCTACCATGGCATTTTCGTTGGTGACATGGATTGCATGGAAGCTGGTCAGGGTATCAGGCAGCCCAAAGATCATCCAAAAGAAAATCGTACGATAAGCTCAGATTTCAAAAGATAGATTGTAGTAACTAAAGTTCAGTTTACCCTTTAAGATCATTTGAAGATTGGTGCATTATTTTTCATGTTAAAATTTATGAATAATTACAATAATAATAATATTAATTGGCGTTTAGTATCGGTGTACTTTTGAAGGAGATGGGGTCAAGACAGTCATTGTTAATATAGTATTTCGCATGGACTTGATTACTGTAAACAAATCACATAGACCAAAATTATAATTTACTAATTTTGTTGTTAAAGAATTTGTGAATATGAATGACACTAATTCCAACTCAACAGATTTCGATGGGAAGAATAAAGGTAACTTGGGCAATGTACTGTATTTTTTACCATAAGAATATTAGTAAAATGAAAAGTGCGTTGCTATTTTTGGTAAGATATTAATAGTGGGTGAAACTTAAACTTCAAAAGGACATTTTATCACAAAAGTTATTGTTTAAACTTCTGCGGCAACAAATCCTCTTTTAACATATTTTTGAAACAATAGTTCAACAATCAGTGGAAAAATAATTTTTTATTTGTCTTGTTCTTATTTAACATATTTTCAATACAATACAATACATATTTTGAGGCTTGTGGAACCTCATGTCTTCTCTTTTGCTTCCCACATCATATGTACAACGACAATACAATATCACACATATTATTTGGTATAAAGGAACAATAACAAGTAATATAACAAAAATATATTTGATATGATATACTAAGGCATTGGTTTAGGTTTATTGTAATAGTTTTATTAGTACAGTGGTTTTACAAGTACTCATTCGAAAAAACAAAAAAAAAAGTACGTAATTGTTTTAAGGCTAATATGATACTTTTAATGTGAAAGTAATAATCGAAATGTGCAGCGCATGGATACCTTATTTGAAACTGTGGATAAAGAAGTATCCAAGTATTGTGCTTTGTGCTTGCTTTCAAAGAATCAATGTCTCTTATGGAGAATCTATGATACATTTTTAGTCCATTTTTGTAGTGATTCATGGTTGTTATGTTTTTTTATAAACTGTATAATTTAAGTATCAAATAAACTGATACCAAAAAAACTTGGTCAAAAACTACAACATTCTTATGTCAATAATAGCTTTTAAAAGACAGTTTCAATAAAGTCAAATCTCAAAAGTACCACAGCATCTTTATGTTCGTACTCCGTACACTAAATATAAAAAGATTGATGCTATTATAATTACGATACTTTGAAAAAAAATCTTAATATTCAATAATCAAAACAAATTCGAGATACAAACCAAATAACTAAATTGTTGGACAAAAGCAATCAAAGAAACAACTCAAACTAATCATACTAATCAAACCTAAGAAACCAAAATCGTAATACATGACAAAAACATAAAAATTAACCATTGTTAACCAGAACTATGGGTGATCCACACAAAGCCATAAACCTACTATAGCAACAATGAAAGACATCACTGAGATAGAAACCGTAGCTTCTGGACCGGAATCTGAAGAATTACCGGAGCCTGGGAGCTGGGACGACGCCGGCGCCGGATAGATGGGATAGTTAGGGCTATGAGGTGGAGTGACTACTGGTGGTGGATAAGGGTAGTTACGACTCTCCACGTTCACCGCCATCTTCTGCCCTTTAATACAACGATTTGCTTTCCCACTAATGAAATAAAACTTACCCACTTTATCAAGATTGATAACTGTATTCCCATCGTTGAAGACAGAGATTGGTTGCCTTGAATCACAGCGCAAAAACGCAGATTCTGTTGTCAAAACCACCGAATCATTCTTGTATTGAAACCCTATTCAGAAGAAAACAAGAGCAGTTATATATATCATGCTTCGTTGATCTGATAATTTGAAAAGGAATAAAAGAGAAAGAAACATACGAAGTGTATCTCCGACGTAAAAATGCCTTCTAAAGGCCCAGACATCGTAGAGTTGTGTTTCGCGCATGGCCGGGACTCGCCAACCGACGTTCTCTCCGACTAGGAATTGCCTGCCGGCGACGGCGGCGATGATGCATGTTAGGAAAAGAAGAGCCAGATTAGTGGAGGCGGAAGTCATTTTCTTGCGATTTTACAGAAACTTGGAATGTGGTTGTAATTTGTGTATGCTTGCATAATAATGCAAATGGAAGTTTGTGAGTTGCAGTAGGAAGGGCGATGGGTGTATATATAGAGAGTAAAGGAGGGGGAAGAGGTGAAGGTTTTTGGAGGGAGAAAATGGTGGGGGTGGTGAACGTGAGAACGTGAGGGGTCATTTTGAAGAGATATTGGAGGGTCTCGTGCCGGAGGTTTTGACTTTTCAAATTACATACCGTTGCTTTGAGTGATGGGTCTACGTGTTACTTCTGGGTATGATCCATTGGTATAAATACAGATAGTCGAATAGAAAACACGATCAATCAAATTAAAAGTTTTAAAGTGGGCTAGTATTGTTTAGGAGTGAATGGGTTAGTTACTTAGTTGTGGTTCAAAACTGGATCGTAGGTCACATATGAACATAGGGTTGTGTAGTTTGAAAGTTTGAATAATTCAAATTATAAAGTTTTTTTTTTTTTTTTTTTTTTTTTTTTTTTTTTTTTTTAAGAAAAACCTCCCCAACAATGGTTTTCAGGTCAGCTTTTTCCCACCGATTAATCCCATTGCAAACATAAGTGTGCATCATGCCATGAAATCAATGAGATGAACCATAACAAGGGTTGAGTAATGCAATAACTTGAACTAGATTACCCATTACATCTTCAACATACATTAACAACTCAACATACATTAACAACTCACTGTGACCCAAATAATTACAAATATTAAAGGTTTCAAATTTGAAAAATGAAAATCATGAAAAAAATATAGTTTAATTATAAAAGCATACTTAAAATTATATGATAGAAAAGTAGGACAAAATCATATACACAAATTTAAAATATTTTGATTTAAATATATCAAATCTTGTTATTCTAATAAATGAATATGTTTATTTTTATTTTATCATGTGTTATCATATTAGGCCTCCTGATTAATATCATTCCACTTGTCAACCTATTGATTCTCCATTTCAAATTTCAAAATTTAAATTTCCTATTCTAATTACATTAAATTAATAATATTAGAATAAAAATTAAAATAAAATTAATACAAATTGTAAAGTGATACAATTTTGTGTATTTATTTAAATCAACAATTATAATTTTATATAACTAAAAAATATATCTTAATTAATAGTTTATTTAAAATAATTGATAAATAATTTTGAGTTTTTAATATAAAAATTTAATTAATTTTGTAACCGTAGTTCCTACAGGTTATAAACAAGTTAATAATAAATCGATCACACATTCATATTATGTGCTATTAATATGGTAATATGGTTTTCATCATGATATTGTGTAATATGATAGTTTTTCTTCTATATTTCATGATTTCAGCTCCAAATATGTGGCTTGCTTATGAGTTGATATTGGCAAAGCAAGTTTTCTCTTTTTAGAAATAAAAAGGCAGAAGCGATGAACTCGTTTAAAATAAAAAGATTAAACTTTCATTCCAGATGTCTTATTTTGATAAGCTTTGTTGTAAGTGAGTATAGGATGCATTATCGTAAATACCAGAAGATTGCATACATGGAGCATGAGCATGAAGCCGGACATAACTTTTCAAAATGAAAAAGAAAAATGTTTTAACAATAGCAAGCAACCTAATATTGAACACCATATTTTCATGGCATTATTTTGTACTACTATCAAAGTGAACATTTTCCAGGATAACATGAAGATGTTTGAAAATATTATTAGATTGTGTTTAAGAGAATTTAAGATAATTATGGGATAAATGTTTAACGAAAAACAAATTTTTGACATGTAAACAACAATTTTTTTTTATCAATGCGGATTGCTTTTTTTTTAATAATATAGTTCAATACATATCGATGGAAGGCAAACGAGCAATAAATTGCGCCGCTAGCCCTTTCTGGATGTTGTTTTCAAAAATTTAATTTCTAAAGAACACCTAATTGGTAACCATATAAGATAATCAATGACATTACGAATACCAAAGCTATTAAAATTAACAAAGTACTAAACATGTCGATTTAAGCATTATGTAATCCATATCCAATCCGGAAGATTGAACATACATCCAAAAATATATCTAACAAGACAATTTATCTTATGTTTTTTTTATAAACTCAAACATTATGAACTCAATCTTGATGAACTATTAACTCGTATTTATTGAACAACTTTTTATGTTGATGATTAAAATACACCAACTATTTCTCCCTTATTTTCTTAATAATCTCACCACCCACCAACCATCCCTATTTCAAGCGTCAATATAATTGATATTAAAAAAAAATAGGTATCAAAATTTCAGGAGGAATCGATCGCATTTTCTCCATCTAGAAAAACTCTCTTAGAAGAAGATTAGTTTATATACCTACGAGTGGTGTTGTTGATGGAGCACAATGGACGAATAGAGAAAAAACAAAATTATAGTAGAGGCGACAACTTGTCTGTCGTTGAGGAGAGATAATATAAGTAGAAGGTGCCCTATTGATGTGTTATGTATAGCATAATAAAATAAACATATTTAAATACAAATCTAGTTTTAAATTTATAAAACCTAACAAACCAAATTGATTATCAACACCAAATTGTGTACATATCATGAATAGTATAACTTGGGTAGTATGTGTGTCAACATGAAGGGGAATCAAAGTGGACAAAATAAACCAAATATGAGAATTAAAATGTAACTTAAATAAAATAAAGTAAAGTAAATTACTTTTTTTTATTAATGGTACTTTTGATTAGGTTTTGAATCATTATATGATTATGATTAACTCATGCGGAGTGCAATTGAGTCTTGATAGGAATTTATTGATTTCTAAGTTGATTAGAAAAGATGGTCAAGCCACTAATCCTATGATTCCAAGTTGTCTACCAACAATTATTGCATCCCTGGACTCAGTCTATTAATTCATATTATGCAAATCTCAATTGTCATGATCAATATCATTGGTCCTGACAACTTCTTAAAATTTCCAAGCTATATATCCAATCAATCATGGATATTAACTTAATTCCATTATGTTTAACCCATGGATACTGTCGGCCTCTAGTCCTACTGCCTAACTCATTAATGGAGTTTTAAGCTACTAATGTTAGCAAAACAACATGATACAATATATATAATTTGAATCCTAATCTTAGATCATGTACGCAATTACATAAACATGAAAAAATCAAAATTAATATACATGAGTCTTTAATTGAGAAAACATGTAACACCTGTTTTCCAGAATGGTTCAGTATAAGGCATTAAGGAGTTAAAGACATGGTTTTTAAGAAAAACCATGAGTCAAGACGTGACCATAAGGAGGTCACAACGTGACAAGTAGAGAATGAGAATACGTAGTTGGAGGCTTTCCACGACGTGACATGTGTATGGTCATGTCATGACAAGGGCTGCAGCCCAAGACCATAATATTTTAGGGTTTCTTTCGTATTTAGGCCCCCTAAACTCAAATTTAGGGTTTCATTTACATCCTCCATCACCCTCTAAAGCTTTGATCAAACCCTAATAGCCTCCTCTTCATTTATGAGCTTATTCTTGAAGTTTTGGTGTCCTTGGAAGGAAGAAGAAGACCCTTGTGATGTTGAAGACCTCTTGGCAAGCTTGGAGTTTGAGTTTGAGCCATTTATGGAGCATTGTAAGTATCCAAGATCCAAACTTTATGATGTTATCTTCTAGATCTAGGCTTATTGTTCTGTTTTCTTCATATTGTGAAAGTTTGGATGGGAGGGATTCTATAAATTTAGAAACTTTAGGGGTCCTTATGGTCCCTTGAAGTTTGTGCTTAATGGATATGAGGTTTAGCTGAGTTTTGATGTCATTCATGTGAGTGTGGTTCCATTTCTTCTTCATTTTGACCTTTTATGAGATCAAGACATGCATTGGACATGCATGTCTATAAAGCATCGATTTTTTGGATGCTTTTGGAGTAAGAAGGCCCTCTGGAAAGTTGGAATGGATGACCTTAAGGATTAAGGGATGAATGCATTAAGTGTCCCAATCTGATGTAGTGACGACATGACCATATGGTGGTCACGACATGACTATGAGATTTATCTCAATTATTTTGGTTGGCTTAGTAACGACGTGAGGGCATGGTCTTCACGACGTGGCGATGGTTTTGGGTCACGACTAAGTTTTCAAATCCGAAGTTTGGATCGGGGATGAACTTGTTGCCCACAACGTGACCATGGGCTGGTCACGATGTGAAAATCAGTTTTTTGGTATTGTGGTTGTTGACATTGACTTTGGCTATTAACTTTCGGTGTAGGTTGACTGTTGGTCAAACTAAGGGTTTTGGAGGGTAGACTGAAAGGGTACTCTTTATTGTTGTTAGGTGCTGTAACACATGAATCTTTGTAAGTTTATTTATTGACCATGCATTATTTAATTTGTCCCATTTTGACCATTGAGTTGTACGCGGGGCGTACGACAAGGTACGCTTAGCGTTCAAGCGGTTAAGCGGGTGCGCGGGGTATACCACTTGGTACGCTTAGCATACTAATGCGAGGGTATTGATTGGGGATCCGGAGGTGTACAATGGTTGTACAGAAGTGTACGCGGGGCATATGTTAAGATCCTTGAAAACCCTAATTTTCGGGGTTGGCCACTATTTAAGCATCCTTATGGACTTGAAACCCTCATTTTATCTCCTAGGAGTTCCTCCCAGACGTCAAGTCGAGTTCCGAATCGATTTAATCCCAGGAGCTAACCCCATAGCCAAAGCCCATTATTGTCTAGCACCAGCAGAGATGCAGGAGTTGTCTAGCCAATAAAATGAACTGCTCAACAAGGGATTCATTAGACCAAACTTCTCACCCTGGGGAGCACCAGTCCTATTCGTAAAGAAAAAGGATGGATCTTTTCGAATGTGTATAGATTACCGCGAACTAAACAAAGTCACCATTAAGAACCGCTACCCTCTACCCATAATAGACGATCTGTTCGATTAACTCCAAGGAGCCAGCTAATTTTCGAAGTTCGACCTAATATCGG